CCTGAACAGAACCCAAGTAACCTTAACACCAACAATTTCCAGTCTCTAGTGCGCATTATCCAACCAATCTTCGGCCTCTTCTACCAACATGTGAGTAACGAACTGCATCTTCTGAGCTTAAGTTCAAGCCATCAATCAAAAAATATTCTCAATCTCTCTAAGTCATGTTTGTGCACCATCAAGATCATACATGGCCTCGAAAGTCGGAGAATTATTTTGCTGAAACTTCCTCAATCCACATAACTTATCAACTGGTCGATTCTACTGATCCTACAACGTCTAAGCCATCCCTTCCAAAGCCTCAACAATTGTTTTATTATTTCTTCCACTAGCCATATCTCTACATATAGGAAAACAACATTAGAAGAAACAAAGCATCGACAGTGCTCACACACTAATTGACTACCAGAGAATAAACAACATTACAAAAACCTGGCCGGACGGACTGACCTACTCTGATACCACTATGTAACACCCTAAATACCCCATACGTCTAATTATAAAATAAATCAAGTTTGGATAACATAAACACATTTAAGATGTCACTCATCTTCAACAACACTTGTTTGTAACACTTTTCAATTGAAGTAAAACATTCATATAATTCACTTAGGTATCATCGCAACATAATTCATCAACTAAGCATGTTTCACAATTATTAAGTCTCATAAAAAATACGTTATTGGGAATTAACACAATTATGGTAAAAGCCTCCACAATCAACATAAACTCAAAATATCGAGAGTATAACATCCAATTCTCAATTAATGAATCGTAATAATAAAATAACTGGTACCTTCGGGATGAACAATGTCTCGAAATGAAGTGTATGCAGAATGACCAATGTTGCCGGAATTTCAAAGGGTCTACGATTAACATGAAAAAAACAAAAATAAACCACAATGGCGACGATTAAGGTTTAATAAAAAAATATTTTCAAAATCAGAAAGTCATGATACCATATAGAAAAGTATGGAAAAATACCCTTTTTGGTGCCTTAAGTTTACCTTTGGGTCCATTTTGGTCCCTTAAGTTTAAAAAGTTCCAAATGGATATTTTAATTGTTCAAAAAGGTTTATAGTAGTCCTTTGCGTCAATTTGGATTAAACAAACGTTTATTTTTTCTATGTGGCAGTTGAAATGGATTACATATGCATCTTTTTCCTTCCATCGTTCCATTATGTTCTCTTCAACCCAGAAAACTCCCAAATTATGGGGTTCATAAATTTTCTTCCCTTTCAAAATTGAAATTGCTTGAGGAAGATGAAGACGTCAACATCAACGAACTCAGGGGAATGTTCATACGACTCGACTATGAAGGTTCTCATTTGGATGCCAATTTGCGATGGAAACCCATATGTGGCTGTGGAGACACGGCCCTTCTTCGAAGGGCTTCAACCGTCACGAATTTTTGAAAACAATTTTGGGGATATCGTAATTATAAGGTTAAAAAGAAATTGAATTGCTTCTTCATCTCTGTTTGTTCGGATATATGCTAAATGTGAATTACACAGGGTGCAACATAAGCTGGCTGTGGTTATTTTGAATGGTTCTATGATGATGTGGTGGATGAGAAATGCTAGTTTATAAAGAAGCAAAAGAGTAGGTTGAAGAAGTTTCAAAATGAACTTGATGCAACAAAATTGGATTTGGAGTCTTTAAAGGTGACAAATGATGGATTGAAACAAAAGATAAGGGACTTACAAATTCAAATGAAGAAGACGATGAATTCAGAAAAAATTTGGAAAATGTTGTTTTGTATTATTTTATTTATGGTCATATGTAGAATGTTGTAACTATTGTATCAATTTGAATTGGTTTGTGTAAGTTGTAAGAGTTTGTTATGAATTAATGTGTTTCCAATTGAATATGTTTGTTATTAGTTAAGTTGTAACAATTTGAATTAGTATGTGTGTTTTCAATTGAATATGTTTGCTTTCATTCATAGTTGGTTTATACCATTATTTATCTGTTGGTTTATACTCAAACATATAGATAGTCAATTGAACAAAGATAACAACAACATTTCATTATAATGTGGTGTGAACCACCAACATTTAGACAAAACACATGTTTAAGCTAGGGTTGAATTTAAGTGAATTTTGTATCCTTTTGCTCAACCATTTAGTCTTCAACATCTTCACATTATATTCTCTACTGCAACTATGAGTGTCTACTACCTTTCTTAATTACCAAGAATTCTCATTAGACAACTTAGAACAATCAGTTTCCCATTCACATCCATATTTACACCTAACCCTAATCCTTATCTTGTCATTTTTAATGTACCTTTAATTTCTACCAGATTGGATTGCATAAGTGGTAATTGCTTCCTTGAAATCTTCATTTGTACTAAAATAGGTTTCCACTTTCCATTTGTAATTGGACATGTCCTTTTGAATCTTGAATATTGGATACTTCTTTCTCCTAACTCTGTTGCTATCATCACTTTCACAGTCACTTTGAAGATCCTCACTTTCATTATCACTTCCTTTAAACTCTTCTTTATTTTCTTCCCACTTTTCTTTACCTTTTTTTGCCTTTCACCTCTTGGTCATCATATTCAATGTCATAGTCAATTAGGTTACCCTCTTCGTCATCCAAGTCAATATCATACTCATCAGAGTCATGTCATCAAATACTACCTCCATTGCACAATCATAATTGAAGCTACTATCATCAGAACTAACATCATCATCAACCTCACCAACCTCAACCTCACTAACCCTTGGTCCATTATCATCAATTAACCTAGCATTAACATCATTATCATTCAACTCAGTTTCCTTCAACATCTCCTCATGCACAACTTCAGTCTCTTCTACTATCTCATTAAGGGGTATCTCCTCAAGCACAACTTCAGTCTCTTCAACATAATTAGATCGTGACAATGTGTGTTGAATAAAGACATCAACACTAAGATGAACCCTATAGAGATCAACAATCTCTAAGGCACCTTTGTCATCAACTAACAAAATCATGCCAGCAAGAGGATCCTTGTAATATATCTTCTCTATGTCCGCGTAACGTAGTTCTTTAATAGCACCTAACAACTCAAAATAGCTCCACTTATCAACATCTACTCTCAAATCTACAATCTCACCTCCTTCGTACACACTAAGATCCTCACTAACAAATTCACCATTGTGGTGGGTTGTAATATTTAGAAATTCATCCATTTCAGACTATACCCTAAATAAAAGCGAAGAACAACGACTTCAGAAAGATGGATTTTAAAATATCCTAACTACGAAAATTATAAAGTGGCAGATACTTACCTCTACTAAGCAGTGTTGTCTTCTCTTTGTGGTTGAAGAACCGTTTATGCCTTCGCTTTGCCCGCAACAGTTTCACCTTCGAGATACAATAATGATTGCACTGGGGTTTCCTTGAAGAAACAACAATGACTTATGCGTTTCTCTTTTCATTTCCTTTTCTATTTAAGACTTCAAATATTATATTCCAGATGGCAACAAAATAAAACACGTGTTTGCCACATGTATGCCACATATACACTTCCATTGATTTTGACTAACAGGACTGATGGAAAGGATAAACGTGAACCTTTTTAAATAATTAAAGGACCTATTTGAAACTTTTTAAGTTTAAGAGACTAAAATAGACCCCAAGATAAATTTAAGGGACTAAAAATAATAGTTTGCCAAAATATATTTAATATATTTTAAAGTTGTGATTTATAATAGTAGAATAAACTCATTTAAATAAAGATAAATCAAAATCTAATTAACTTACTTATCGAGTCTCATACTTATAAAGTAAAATAACTATAAATATCACTATTTTCAATCTAATATTTACCACAAATATGTATCAATTTTTCATGGATGTCATAATCTTGAATGCCATATACTCGAGGCTTATTATAAAGAGACATTATTAGTGTAAATGGAAATCAAGAAGAGTGAAGGATGGTTGGACAAAAGTGTTGATAAGATGATGAAGACCATTATGGATCTCAGTTATACCAATAATCCTATGTGAAGGAGGTGTTCTGTATAAGGCAGTGGGTGACATTAAAGATAAGAGAACAATTCAAGTTAAGAGTTAATTTAGGCACATATTAAATGACACAAAGTGAAATGACAAAAACAGAAGAAATGCAAAAATTAAGGAAAGCCGTAGGATGACGGGCCAAATCTATCCCTAAAGAAATTTTCCCTAATGAAGTTAGGTAAGATTTTCCACCAGATAGAACTAGTATGGTTATGGCCATGACAGGCAAGTTTGTCCACACAAAATGAGCAAAGGAGTGGTGAGAAACAAGTGGTGAGATGATTCGAAATCAGCATAACATGGAACACAAACAGACACAATGATCCATCGTCTACTCCACAAGTTTTCATCTGTGAGGAGCCTTCTATGCATCAATCTTCAGAGGAAAAAATAATGAGATGGAGGAATGAACCTACACTATATCAGTTTAGACCAAGGAAACAAATGAGCAGCTGATTTTAAGTGAAGGCAAGTTTTCTTGACAAACAAGTAACCGTCATAAGAGTTTCTCCACAAACCAATTGATCTGGGATTGGAGCCATAGGTAACACAACATTATTAATCTGCTCCACCAGGTTAGCATCTCTCTTTGAGGAATAACTATTCAACAGTAAATAATCAAAGATTCTAGAAAGTTTGCATTTGATAGCTAGCTGATTGAAATTAACATATATTTAATAAAATTTGCATCTGCTACTAGTAGTAATAATGAAGATACTACATCATACACCAACATACACATTTGCATCATCTGATACCCGCAAAATGCATTCCCAAGTGTTATTCAATTTGTGCTAATAATAGCACATGTCTAAATGCATTTCAAAAAGAAGTTTATAATATTATTAAAAGTAGCAGTTTCTTATGTATCACTCATGGCTTATAGTGCAAAACTAAGTTTTCTATTGAAGCATGAGATAAGAACAAAGGCTACTCTAAAATTTTCCTATTATTATCAGAAGACTCCAACCTGTAGTTCTGCCATTTTATAATCTAGGATCAATTCTTGGGCGGTCCCACTCTGTGACAACATGATCACGAGTTATCTCCCCTAGTGAGCGACAACCACATAATGCCATAGTTAGTTGAAACTCATCACGAAGAATCTCAAGTACTTTCTTTACACCAGCTTCGCCATCAGCAGCCAATGAGAACACCACAGGTCTTCCAATCTGATATTACAAGATCAAAGGTAAATGTATAAACACAAGCAATGTATGTAGGAATAGCTTTATATTTTATTCATATGCTTCTTTGTGGAACTAGGTATAACTCTAAATATTAAGGCCATTTGTATAATTTATATCTCTAATTGATGTTTAATTTTGCTATCATGGTTGTGAAAGAATCATATACTTACAAATACACCGGATGCTCCAAGAGCCAGTGCTTTAAAAACATCTGTCCCTCTACGGACTCCACCATCCAGAAAAACCGGAATTTTTCCACCTGCTGCTTTCACAACCTATTCAAGGCAAGCAACAAACACCTTAGTAAAAGTCATGCTTGGCGAGCAAAGTTGAGAAACTAGGACAAAAAAGTGAAAAGGAAACAAACTTGTACCTCTTCTAAAGCCGTAATAGTTGCAGGCACATAGTCAAGTTGGCGAGCACCGTGATTGGAAACGATGATTCCAGAAACTCCAGCTTGTATAGCTAACTTTGCTACATTATCAGAATAGAATTATAGAACGAAATTCAAGATTGATAAGAAGAAAGACGAAATGGATAAGGAAGAATAACATCAGAATATAGCTGTTATTAAGTAAGAAGCTTACTATCTTCACCGGTAATTACACCCTTCACTAAAATTGGCAATGAGGTGATTGTTTGAAGCCATTTCACATCCTGTTACAAGGTTTACCACATATGCAATATTGTTGCAGGCAAGGAAATCAAACATACATATGCGAAAGATGTAAGTTACCTTCCAGTTGAGTGACCGGTCAACTTGGCCAGCAACATAAGAGGCTAGACCAGAATCATTAGTCTTCTAAATGATTGATTACAAACCGAAAATGGAAACAGTAAGATGAACAGGAATGGAAAAAGCTTATCTAATTTCTGAATTCATACTAATCACAAACAAACCTTATCCAGCTTTCCAAGATCCAACCCTTCATAGTTTTTCAAGACAAGGTGTGATGGCATTGTAAATCTGTACAAAGAACAAGCCATTGGCATATACATCTTAAAACATAAGATTTATCAATTCAACTATGTTGAGCTATGTTAAATTTTGTAGAAAGATTGTCCAAATGATTCTTAACCTGTTTTTAATATCAGCTTCCCTACGACCAAGAATTGGAGTGTCAACAGTAAGCGCAATTGCCTTGAAACCGGCAGATTCAGCTCTTCTCACAAGCTGAGTAACCACGTTTCTGTCTTTAAGCACCTAAGAGAATAAAAGAAGATAACAACGACAAAATAAGTTATAAAACAAGATAGTTGAGTTCATTACTTGTGTAATTGCATCAAGAGAATAAAATGATGTTGTTAAATGAAGTATGGAGGTAATTATTGTTTAAGGCTAATGAAACCATGATGACCTTAAGCAGGTAAAAATCGCAGGAAGCAAAATGAAAAACAATAGGTTTCCCTATTGAATGAAGTTAAAAGGTATCAAATCTTAATTTGTCAACACATTAAAACATTAGTACAAGTGCAACGAAAGTACTAAACAACAAATCGACAATTCATAGATATTGCAAATAAAATCATTTTAAAAACACATCACAGGAAATGTTTATGCGTTCAACAGAGAAATGTGACAAACACATCACAAGAAAAAATAATCATGAATTAAGAAATGAGGGCAATATACTCACGTAAAGTTGGAAAAAGCGAATGCCAGGTCCTGTTGAAGCAACCTCCTCAACACTGGAAGTAGCCCATGAGGATAGTGTCTATAACAAAAAAAAAAACGATAAAACAATCAGCAAGAAACTAATTAGGCTTAACTGGTGCACGAAGGATTAGAGAGAGATTCACACCATGATTGTGCCAGCAGCTGATGCTGCCCTAGCAGTAGCATATTCTCCTACACAAAAATTGCAAAATTTGTTTCAGTTTAGAAGTTTATGTATGGGAATGCATAATGTCTAGCTTTATGACATGAGAGTACTGTCATTAAAATACATGATACAATGCAAATGGCATAATGTAACACAGACCAATGAATTTAATGGCACTATATACCTTGAGGGTGAGCCATCTTTTGCATAGCTGTTGGAGCAATCATGATAGGCATTGATATATCAAACCCTAATACATTTGTTGTCAAGTCTATCTTGCTTACATCCCTAAGAATCCGCGGCCTGAACCTGTTTTCACAGTAAACTTAGAAATTGAAATAAAGGCTTTAGCACAAAAATAAAATAAAATCAGCTTTTAGGAAAGTAAGTAGATTACATAATCCTTGAGAATGCATTTCGGTTCTCTTTCAATGTCCATTCATCTTCTGCCCCTGATGCATAGTAGTCATAAATCATCTTTGGCAATTTTTGTTTCGCAATTGCTTCAAACTCGCTCACATTGGTTATCAAATCCATCTTCCTGATTTGAGTAAAACACAGTGACTAATCGACATGAATTCATTTCAATATTTTAAAATGTTTTAGAACATCATCAAATCACAATTAATATCTATAAAACACATACACATACACGACCTTGACACGTATCATACACTAATCAAATCTCAATTAATATCTACGAAACACAAACACATACAAACACATACGTATATGTTGAGTGCTACATAGATCAATACCTGACTCAATTTCAGCTATTTTTTCAGATTCATGTATGATGTTGACGAGTATTTACAGAAACAGAAGCAGTTCAAAAGTATGATCCAACATTGATATATAGGTATAATCTATACGGCGGAATTAACAACGAGAAAAGAAAACAAAATGAAATAAAAGACGAAGGGATCACACACCTTTGTTTTGAGGAGAGGGTGGAGCAAGAAAAAATGGTGAGAAACTCAAACAAGTCTCTGAAGTGAGAGAGTGTGTGACATGGCCAAATAGAAAACGAACAGCAAAGTTTATGTAGTGACAAAATGACGAGTCATTTGTCAGCACATCAACGTGGAATATATTGCAGAAATGTCGAATATTTGAATTTCATCGAACAGTTATGTCTCTCTCATCTTTTTTATTTGATCCCGCAATTATTATCATACAACATTAATATGATATATTCTAATCAATCTATTAGACTAATATATTAATTAGGAGTGTTCAAAATTGAATCGACCAAATAAAAAATTGTAAAATTAATCAAACTAAATCGAAATCATAAAAAATTATATTTGGTTCGGGTGTGTTTGAGACTTTTTTTTAACGAAACAGTGCGGTTTGGTTCGATTTACGATTTGTATTTTACAAACTGAACTGAACCAAACCGTATTATGTTACGACTTAAACTTTACTTAACTCATATCTAATTCATACTCCAATCTTTTATGCCTTAGCCTTACGATTACGAATTATATTCTCTTTCTCACACTTAAAATTTGAGTTTAAGTTTTCTCAAATCTCTCGTAACGATATCACGCCTTCTACTAATCTTATTTTTCAAGTACAACTCGTCTCTTCTTCTCTAATATTTAATCTCTTATGTTCTTTCTTTTTTATTTTACCGTTCTCTCAATTACGTTTTAAATGTACATTTTCTTCTCTAATCTCTTATCTCTTATGCTCTTTCTTTTTCATTTTCTCTAATCTTTCATCTCCTTTGTTTTTCTATTTCATTATAATATTTTTTATATTGTTTGATGCTACTATTTTATGTTTTTTATTCCAATTCTCTTTAATCTTATTTTTGTATATTAAATAGAAAATTATTGTCTAAATATGATGAATTTTGTTGTTATTTGATAATGCATAAATTATTAAATACAAAACAATGTTGTCATCTATATGTGTATGTATGACTCAATAAAAATTTTTTATATAAAAAATCGAACTAACCGAACCAATCCAAACTACATTGATTTAGTTCGATTTTATTTCTAAAAGTCAACTGAACTAAATCAAATCATACACTTTTTTATCTTACGATTCAAATAATTTTTTTACGTCAAAACCGCTTAAACTACACCGCGAACACCCATAATATTAATTATTAGTTTCTGACTAAAATATTATTAATTTATTGTAATGAACTAAAGAGAAAAATGAGAAGTGTTGGATTTTATTTTCACCCATTCAATTTATATACTGAAATAAGTCATATTTATAAGACTTTAAAAATCAGATTACATAATTAGGCTCTATTTTGTAATACCAGAAAAATAATTTTTATCTTTTAATTTTTAGCTTTTAAGTTTATATTAACAAAAAAGTTCTGTTGTCATTTAGTTTTTAGTTTGTAGCCTTTTTATTAGTTTTTAGTTTTTTTCTTAAAAGTTATTTAAAATAGTTTGTGAGCTTGTAGCTTTTAACTTGTGATTTTTTCTTTCATTTATATCTTTATTATTTTAACAAAAATATATTTTTACCCTTCAATATATATAGTTTAAATAGTTTTTGCATTTCATAATTATATTTGTGTCGATTAACAAGAAAATGTAATATTTAGCATTTTTTAACAACATTCAAATTACATATCTTGTAATCAATTTAGAGATAGTGCTGTTAATTCTTAAGTTTGTGAAATATTAGAAGATTATCAAGACGACAATGATTCATAATAATAATATTGGAGTTTTACCGTAAAATAGACAATAAATTTATTTTTATTATCATTTTAGATTAATATAATTGAGTTCAAAATTATAATGATGTTATTTTATATACCTCGTTAAATTTATATATAAATGTTATTATATAAGTTCATTTAAAAATTTATATATAATTGTTAAATATATTTTGTTGTTATTTTTAATTTTAATATATATTAATTTTTTTTGTATGTGTTTGCTAATATATTTATTTTTATTTTATAAAAATTAATTTAGTTATATAATATAATAATATAATAAAACTATTAATTTCTTAATTAAAAATGTCCTTTTATGTTATTTTATATTTATCAGCTAGTATAATAGTTAATTTATCAAACACTCAAATTAACTTATTAGCTATCAGTTATCCGCTACTAGTTACCAGCTACTAGTTATCAGCTACCAACTATCAACTACAAGTCATCAGCTACCAACTACCAGTTAGTTTTACCAAACAGAGTCTTAATATAAATTATTATAAATGAAAAAGAAAATTATTGGAAGACAATTACATTTAATATCTATTATTATAACACTCTTCATGAATGTTCATTTAGGATATGTCTTGTTAAAATCTTACTAGAAAAAAATTTAGTGAAGAAAAACAGAGTACAATATTTTTTTAAGATAAATTCATTGCTCCCTTTCAATTGAACAATCATTTCTTCGACAAAGATCAATTTTTTATACTAATTAATTAAAAATTCTACTTGAGAGTGACTCTGTGAAAAAGTCTGCAAGATAATTATATGAGTAAATTTGTTGAATGTTTATATCACCACTCTTCTGAAGATCATGAGAAAAAAAGAACTTTAGAGAAATGTGTTTTGTTCGGTCTCCTTTAAAGTAACCCATCTTTTAACTTAGCGATGCATGCTGGATCATCTTGAAATATGGTTGTTGTATTTATTTTTCTGGAAGACAAACCACAAGTCTCTTTTATGTGTAGAATTAGGGATCTCAACTTGTCTTATGAAGTGTTAAAAGTTCAACATGATTAGTCGAAGTTGTTATGATTTATTTCACATATCTCCAAGAAATAGTTGTACCACATATTATCTCAGATTTTTGACACAAGCATTACCGTTGAAAATTAGAAACAATCTTAAGAAATAGTTATCGTCTTCAGGTCGAAATGGCCAATCTTAACCATGAGATTTAATAATTTTGGAAATTTGTCCTGTCAAAGGGAAGTGGTAGCCCTGGTCGAACATTCGCTGATTTTAAGGCCAAGGATACATGAATTTTGGACTTAGTGAAATTTGGAGTTTCCAACAATATCAATTACACGCAGTCGAACAAGGCTAAAACATATAAGATCAGATAGTTATTCAAGAACACATGTAAAACTTGCAGAGATGAAGTTTGCATGGCGTTGGGAACATGGCAAAGTTTGCTGAGTCGATCGTTGTAGACGGTTACATTAGGACTAGTATATAAATAATGTTTGTTTATAGTTTTAGTGGTCCACAATTTCATACAAATTCTACAAATTCAAAGTATCAATGTTAAGAGAGAAACGAGTGATCTGAAAATATATGTATATGTGTTCCACTTTATGAATTAAAGTTTTTTTTTGTTACAAAAGTTCTTTTTTTTCCTTAAGTCATTTACTGCATTCAATCATTTACTGCATTTAAAGTTACTATTCAATTTCTTTTCAATTTCGTCATCATGAGTCAAATGTGTTCAAACTCATAAATTTTTACACAGTCTGTTAGGAATTTTTTCGAGTTTAATTCCTTATATAAAATCAAACTTGTCTTAGTTTATTAAACTTCTGAGTAAACAAATTAACACACTTGGTGAGACCTTTTGTGCGAAAATTGTCATTATTTTTAGAAAATTTGCATTGTTCTTCATTCATGAAACTTCTCAAAATTGTGAGTATGCATGCGATTGAGGAGTGATACGATAACCAAGAAATACGTTAGAAAACCAACCAAGAGATACGTTAGAAAAATGGTTAATCCAAAAAATAACAACACCGATGAAGACCAATCGTTTAACACCGTAGAAGAATTACTTAAAAATACTTAGAATTTACCGTCTGCACAAGATACATAGATACATCTTTGAATGCTTTACAGAGATGCATCTACATAAGAATCTAACATTTAATAAATAAAAATGAATTTAACAAATATATGTGCGCCCAGAGATGCCTCTATGAAATAGTATAACCTTTAACAAATAAAGATGCATCCCGAGAAATTATAAATATATTGAGACTTCAATCAACTATCAACTATCTACTTATTAAAAAAAACATGTATGCAAACTACTAATAATACCATTCACTTTAATTTTTTTACATTTGCAAAATGTTAAAATAGTCAAAACATAATCTTTCAATTAATTCATCTTACTTCAATCAAATACTACCAAGTGTTAAGTTCTTATTTGATACTTTTTGAACTTTCGTTTTTTCCTCCATTTCTCAGTCTAACACTCCCCATCTCATTCTTCTTTCACTTTTCATTTTATTATTTTATCTTTTGCACCTAATTATTTTATCTTCTCCTAATTATTTTTATTATATTAAAAATTTTAATTATAGTATATGATTATCATATTAAATATTTATTGACGTATGGATGTATACGATGTTTACATTTAGTTTTATTCTTATGATAAATTTAATTTATTTATTATTACTAATAATTTATTTTATGAAATTAGATGATACTTAATAGTCATATACGCAATTAACTTTTCATCTAATAGATCGCTATCATAAAAATATCTATTTTATTTTAATTAATAATTTTTATTATTTGAAAATAAAAAATTCTTATTTTTAAATGTCAAAAT